AGACGTTCGTATCTATAATTGACTGAAAAAAGTTAATATCGGTTAGTTATTTCTTTTTTTAAATAAAAAATATAACTTCATCAAAATTTAATAATCAGGCTGGGTTTGACAAAGGCACATAACGTGATCACCTACTAGTAAATACACCTGTGACCCTCAAGGGGATTACTTGTTGAATATAAGCTTGTTGATTAATTTATTTACTTACTTACTTATACCTAAGCTAAATATGCGAATTTGGAACTTTCTGTTCGAACAGCTGTTTAGCTAAAATATATTATACTGTGTGTATTACATAAAGTATCTTTTCATAAAATATATTCCATTTACCTTAAGTGGTAGAAAACTTTGTGCTACTATGAAGTTAGCAGTCCAGTTAACCGTGACGGCCACTGAAGATGCAGCTGGTCGAGCGCCTTGGTTGAACAGTTCTGCACATTGAATTATACAAATCATTAATTTACGAAGAAGAAACATATGTATATTTCTATCACTACTAATAATCGACTTTTGACAGCGTGAAGTGTTTTTTTTTTCGGTTTTACGCACTATTTATTATTACAGTATTAAAAACGCAAAAATATTATAAAAAATGGGCACAAAATGACTGTAGACTAGACATTTTACACTTACCTGTAACAAGGAACCAGGGTATCGATCCGGGTCCAACAGCGAACATCGTTACGAAAAGAATCACCAATGCGATGCATAAATATGGTACCCAGGATATTGTCGTCTGGAAGACAGAGAAAAGTGCGATTAACTGTTTCTAACGTTCATGCATTTCTAGTACTCTGTGACTGATGGACGTATTAGAATTACACTACAAGATTTAAAATCAAAACTGAGCTATGACAGAAACCAATAAATTGTTGACAGACGGGAGTATGAATATTACAATTTACATCCCAGCACGTAACTAAGTCAGATTAAAACAGAAAATAAGAACAATTTCTTTGCATATTAATCGCCCGCGTTTGAAATTTGTAAATTCAACATTAAACAACTTTGTTTTCTTAAAAGAGTATTTAATGAGATTATATCTCTCCTAAAACCCTTAATCTTCTATAATCAATCGATAATAAAAACAATAAGTTTAAAATTATAGTAATGACCCGTGTACAAGAGTGGATCTGCTGTAAGTAGAACTTAACCTAAAACTTGTATTTTTTCGTGATTTACTTTAAGACTTACATATCTAATAGCAATACATAGCGCAATGGTGGTTGCCAACATTCCACTAAATCCAATGAGAAGTAAGGTCTTCCTTCCCGCCTTTTCCACCAGTAGGAGACTTATCACAGTCATTACGACATTCATTGCGCCCATACCTAGAATATATGAACTATTAACAATCAGAAAATAATGCGACTAACAGTGGCGTAACAATAGGGTGGCAGAGCTGGCAAAATCCCACGGGTCCCCAATCCAGGAGGGACCCTAACCAAGAGATTTTATGTTCTATGGATGAATTTGAAGTCTCCAATACGGATTGGGCTAGCGTGGGGACTACAGACCATTCCCTGTCCCCTAAGAGAGGACGCCTATGGCCATTAGTGGGACATATACAACGTGTAATTGAGTACGCTGAAAAGCTCGAAGTTTATTAAAATTAAACTGACTACAACGTGACGATTTTTACTGATAGGGCACCATCAAAAGAATTTGCCACGGGCCCCAGATGGTATAGCCACAGGCATATTTTTTTTTTTCATTTCGGCAGCCATTCAAGACACTAAAGATTTTAGTGTAAATATTAAGTAATTTTAAATTTAAGATGTCAAATTAAAACATTGCAATACCAGCAAACTTTAATAATGTGCCTATTTCTTTATTATTCACCTTATTTTTCTAAACCGTAGTTAAATTCATACCTAAAACTATTGGGTTTCGAAACTATATAAAACTTTGTGTATAAAGTGTCTTAATAAAATTAAAATTGGGAACATTGTTTAAACTTTAATCGATACGTTCTATAAAGGTTAAAATTAATTCTCTTCTGACGTTCATAAGTGTACTAGTTTACCTATATGAATAAGGTTATTTTGAGTTTGAGTTATGAACAGAAAGTATATAAAACTGAAAAACCGCGCAAATAATTATTGTGAAACCTCGCCTTAGTTTCTATCAAATAAACTCCTTTACCTACTAAACCGATTGAAATTGTTTCACCAACATAAACCTACGTTATTAGGGCGTAAAATATCTACTATATAAAATTCACGGTGTATGTAATTAAATTCCTCCGAAATTTTGAAATTTTGTATGTAACACATCTATCTATTTTTCATCCCGCTAAATTTTAATTTTAATTTTTACGACAAAATGTTTTGTTTTTATTTTTTAAAAACATATCCCCCTCTACGATCAACCCCTATTTTTCATTTATTAATTAGAAACTTATGACTTAACTCTAAAGTTTATATAGAGAAAAACCTAAAAAGTTATCATTCCGGAAAACCGAACAGTCTCTGGGGTAGCATAGCAAAATTTCCCATATACTAAAAAGGTAGGCTAAGTAAAATCACATTAAGGATAAAACGAAGTTCGCAGGGGAAGCTAGGAGTCTATATAACAATGAGCAACAGCAAAGGGGCATCTATGAATAATGTTTGCTGGAAAACATATTTGTTGAGATTCCCACTCTTTGTTGGATAAAACGGCTATATCATGAAATAACGCAGTGAATACACACTCTTACGAGATTAACACAACTATTTATTTTTTGCTTTATGATTCCAATCTAACAGATATGATAATTAGTTATATTAGATATTTATATTTAGGGTGTGAAGACAGTTCAGTTGAATTTTTTTTAATGCGACAATATTGATTTAAATGTACTCACCTAATGTAGCGTACTGACCCTGCCCCTCATTTAAGCCAGCGTTCGTAAAGATATTCGTCGAGAAGAACATGACCGCGTTTATTCCCGAGAACTGCTGAGCCACCATCACCACCATGGCGATGAGTAATGGCTGTCGAAGTTGCTGATTTCCGAAGAGTTCACGAAGCGTGACTTTCTTGCTTATTTTGTTCTTTTCTGCTTCCTGTAGACGAAAAATGTGAAAGTAATGTACTGGTCATGGATACGAAGACTAATAAAATGTTTTTTAATTGTTGTGTGTTTCTTGTTATTTTTGTGTGTTATAAAGTATAAATAAGTTGTATAAGAATCGTGTAACAGAGACATAAAGAAAATCCTTTAGACGTAAAGTCTCTTACGAATTAAATCAATCAAAATTTATTTATTTGTATTGGTAACTATGAATACTTATTACAAAAGGTCTGATCCCAAATCAAGGCGGGTAAGAATAAATTTTATTATAATAACAGAAGGCAAACGGGCAGAAAGCCCATCTGATGTTAAGTGAGACCGCCGCCCATGGACACATAACAGTTAGTTATGTCATAACTCTGCCAAAGGGCTCGCAAGCTCATTGCCGGCCTTTTAGGAATCAGAATGCTCTTATAGAATTGGCGAGAATTTCTCTGCCACTCTTTTAAATGACAAGATTTAGGTTTTTTTGTTCTTTTCATTATTAGTGTAAACACTATTTGACAGAAAGAGCCGTATTTGTAATAATATGATGATGATAGTATTTGTGACTGATATTGCTGTGCATTTATTTCAATCTCAAAATAACTTTATTCATATAGGTAACCAAGTACACTTATGGACGTCAACAGAAAAGATGTTAAATTAATTCTAAATTTAGATACATTTCCTATTACTAACATCAAAGCACAAAATTGTCTTCCGCGCTGTAAAATTATTGGTAACTGATAAAGCACTGCACTAGCAGTGTTGGCCAAGTGGCTTCAGCGTGCGACTCACATCCATGAGGTCGTGGGTTCGATCCCCGGCTGTGCACCAATAAACTTTCTTTCTATGTGCGCATTTAACATTCGCTCGAACGGTGAAGGAAAACATCGTGAGGAAACCGGCTTGTCTTAGACCCAATAAGTCGACGGCGTGTGTTATGTGTGCCTATTAGATTGACAAGTGATCATGAAACAGATACAGAGGCCCATACCTAAAAAGGTTGTAGCGCCTCTGATTTATTTATTTATAAAGCTAAGTCACTTGACTTGCATACTCATAGGAGTGCAATTGACTAATTATTTATGAAAATTACAGTCACCTGATGCATCTCCTCCATTTCTCCGTGAACAGCTACATCGCCGCGGAGCCAATTAAGGGCTGAAACAAAATATTCTCAAATATCCCACCATTTATTCTTAAACTAGGACGATAAGATAGATAATAAGAAATGTAAGCTTTTAATGAAATTATGAATTAAGGTTTTTACAAGTATTTGGACATGACGAAAGGTAAGACGGCTAATTCCCTAATACCCGAATTCCAGGCCACCAAACGTCCATATTTGACAGTACAAAAAAGTATTATTGAGACTAATCTGTATATCGGATTAAAAAAGCGTTATGGAGTAAATATCTTGTAAATAATCATTAATTTATCTAAAATCAATAATGAAAACTAATTATTTTTATGCACCACCCTCATGCTTGTAAATAATGTCTATGACTGTGTAAAGACTGTCTTGGAGTTTAATTTGAGGTTTTGATGGAAATATCTCTGTGTAATCTGATAAGAAACTTGAAGTCTGTTTACGTGGGTACTGTTTTTAATATCCTGTCAAATAGCATACTCATTGGTCTATCTAGACTATTCTATATCTATGATTCCTTTGCTTTAAAAGCCAAATTCATTTTCTTTGGGTTGGACTGTCCCCTTTTAAAGGACCAAGCACTGTCGTATTATTAAAAAAAATTATGCATCAATTACATAAAATATATTACCTCTTTGTGCCTTTAATTCCGCGCCCTTATTTAATAGTAGAAACTTGGGTGTTTCAGGACATAACGGTAAAGTACAACATTGTACAATTGCTGGCAACACTATCACAGCGAGTAGCCATGGCCACCCGTTAGCCGTTCCCAATACTACTTCTAGCCCAAGTATTTGTGAAAGAAGAATTGTTATTGTAATTACTAGCTGATATACTGTTCCGATCTGAAAATAATATAGAATAAACGCCACTAAAACACGTTTTAATATTTGTTGTTTAAAGTTCCATGTTTTATATTTTAAAATGTAGAAATTATACATGCATAGACTGAGCCAGCGTTGCGCAGACTTACGGTATACCAGCAAACGTTGACAATGCTGAAGTTCACGTTGTAGATTCAATTTTGATGCACTTCGACTCCCGATGGGAATAGCGAATCCCCACTACACAAACGACAGGTGAAATACTATACCCAGAATTAATATGGGGTTTGATATATCCCATATATTATTATATACATATGTAAGTCTGCGGAACGTTGGCTCTTACTTAAGAAAAGTTTTGTATGAGACCAATAACTAATAAGAAAACTAGTAAAAAGTAATCGTTTTAACATAAACAGAAACTATGTTATGGTTTGTATAAACTTACCGAGCCTCGCAAAGCCACAGGCGATATTTCAGCCAAATACATTGGTGTAAGTCCTGCGTTTAAACCATTGTTAATACCGATAATCAATCTGAAAATAATATTCGTTTGTAGGTTAAGATATGAATTAGCAGATTCGAGCTTGTTTCATCTTCCTGAAGTTGGCATACAGAATATATGTATGGGGTTTTTGCTAAAACCAAGCAGTAAAAATGAGCTCAATAACAGGAAACTGTAAATATATATGTACTTTATTATTTCATTAATAGCGCCTAGTAAATAGTAAGGACAACTTTGAGATATACATAGTTATGGCGTTATGGCAATCAGTTGTCTATAAAATATACAAATATGGAGTGTTAAAGTAAAATATATTAAGTGGTATTATTTTGACAAACTAATAAGAACATACAGTATGAGAGGTTGAAACTAATGGTAAGAGAGTACTAGAGTAAGAATACGCGCTAAGGATCGATTCTGAACCCCAATAGTCTTCGGATGTAAACACTATAGTATCTATACATATAATAACGGGTTGTCTTCACCAAAAGATGTAAGGTAACGTAGTGATACGGATATAATCATGGGTGATATTTTTTCTTACAAAAATAAAGTCTTGAAGGAATCTGCACCACGTTGAGAAGATGCGAGAAAGGAACATTAAATAAAGAGGAGGGTAACGTGCGGGCTGCGGCCTTATCGCTTTCGAGTGATCTCGACAACTCGCTGCAGAGACATTATCGCCAAGAATAGAGTTATGTTATGGGTTTTCAGAAGAGCATAGGCTATAGCTATGAGCTCCCATGTATTTAAAATCGTTCTTAAGTTAAGAAGGAGTTTTCCACTGACGAATGGGTAATCAGCCTAGCCCCTTACGGAACGCAGATGCGGTCGTACTTTCTTAGACCTAATATGAACCGGATACAGAAATTTTGGAGACGATCCAGTTTATTAATACATTTAATTTTGTCAATATTACTGTTGAACTATAATGACGTTACAGTGTTGTCAAGATAAATAAAACAGTTTTGCTGCAACCGTTCAACCCTCGACGGGAATTCTACGGGAATAATGGTAAGATTCTACGGGAAAGATTCAGAAAGAAGACTTAGCGCTTAGCCTGACTCCCTTACGTCTAAATGTTATTGAATTTCAACAGTCATAGTTCGCGCTAAATTCTCGCTACTGAATTTCACCCTACACTGTAATACCTACGGTTCGATGCGTACAACATACCTGCCAACTATTAGCATTTCTGAGGACTGTGCCGTTTTGGATAGAGCCTCCAGCATCGCAGCCACGAAGACCAGGAGGTTGTTCCACAATAGACCACCTTTTCTTCCTAACCTGAAAGAATCCTAAATTATAATCCCAGCGAATCTGTCTTTCTCTTCTTTTCTGATCTAAGATTTAATTTTTGAACATCAAATATGATGATCAAGAGCGGTCAATTCTTCTGTTTAATTTCTTTCTGATGCCTGCATCAGTATAGAGAATACTCTCTAACTTCATCCAAAAATAATTTTACCTGTCGGCAACCAATCCAGTAATAACTCCCCCGATCATTCCTCCCACACAATAAATGGACACAGTCAGGGACCAAATGTTCGTCACAACTGGGTCATCCTTTGCGGCTAATGATAAATTGGTTCCAGTTAATGCTTCCTTCTGGAGCCATTGCGACATTACCTGAAAGGATTAAATATGATATGAGCTGATGATAATAGGAGCCAAGATTTTTGAAATCAAATTTAGAACGCAAATGTAGTAGCAAGTTATTTATAATAGACTTCGTGTTTGTTCCCAATAGTAGATAGGTAGCTTTTCATCAGGGTATCGAATCCAAGAATATAATAATGAGGTGCGGTAACCAACATCTGTATTACCCCGGTAGTAGGCTGTAGTGCTTAATTTTATTCAGTCAAAAAAGAATTAGACAACTTACAAATTCTGGCGCGTTCATGACTCCCGTGTTGTATCCATGCTGAAATGCGGACAGCGATGCCGCCATTATAGCGAACGCGAGCCTCGCATTCATACTCTGAAAATATAATTAATACAGGTACAGTATATAATCCTCAACCTACAGCTAAAAGATTTTTTTGTGCTATCAAGTTCAGACTGTCATCCCTGAGATGGCGGACTGTGCACCAATGGACATTCTAAGTGCGCATTTAACAACCACTCGTACCTACGGTGAAGGAAAATATCGTGAGGAAATCGGCGAGCATTAGATTCAAAAATGTTGGCAGAAAATACACAAAAGGTTACTTGCCTATTGGAAAAAATAAATGATTTTTATAGTACACTGTACAAACACTATCGTGTCTGGATCGTAAAATTTATAATCCTATGCATTGATGACACCGATCAATGATCTATCCCAATTATTCATAAAAACTAAGACAGTCTTTTGCACTGTTCTCATCCGTCTCTTCTCGTCGCAGCGTAAACATACTTTGGCAGATAAAGACAAAACACATTAATTATAGGAAATAGACTGATTCAGTTTTATTCAGTTGGATATAAATAGATATTTTATTTCCAACACACAAATATATTTAACTTCATATAATAATTATTAAATATGGATTAATAGGAAAAGTTTGATCCCTGTGGCACCTGTAATGGCATGAATATTTTAAAGCAAGGAAAGTACCAGATCACAACTATCTACCAGGCGCCAACTTTAGGCTAAGTTCAGATGACCGCGCGTAGCCGCGCGTCGCCACGCGGTTGGAGCATTCAGATGAAGGTATATGTACGCGCGCCAGTGTGGCTTCAACATTGATTGACAATGGACGTGGAGGAGGCAATTTGCTTATGGATTTTATATAGAAGAGTGAGACGTCGCAGAAGAAGACAAAGACGATACTGGGTGCATCCAATTTTAAGTGACAGACTTTCTTCCAGCCTGTTTGTCACTTTGTATCCCGACTTGAGATTACACGAAGATAAATTTTTTAACCTTCTTTTTATTATTTTATTTGAATAATCTTTAGAATTGAGATTCCAAATTGCACCTCTTTTCTCGATTTCGTCGATAAGCAAATCGATAGGCACAATTTCATCTTCGGTACTCATTTTACATCGATCTATGTGTCTTTCCGTCTCAAGCCGCGCGGATCAACTGAACAGGTCGATACAGGTTTGCAAAACTTGTGCTGCGCGCGGTTCAAATCTTGCGCGGGTCGGAGCGCGCCGCGCGTTGGCGTGCGGTACGCGGTAATGTAGACGATAAGTACCGTTTATATTGATCTTGTACCGCGCGGCCATATGAACTAAGCCTAAATGTTCAGTTAGATTAGAATCGATATATATATAAAAAATATAATAGTTTTTTTTAAAGCGGTCTGGGCCACTTATTGGTACTAAGAAAGTTCTTGGACCTACCGAATGTAAATAAAAAATGTGTAGTACTTGTCACTACGTTTTCAAAAAGGCCAACAGTCAACTGCATAATACAGACTCTTACTATTTTATAGTTTTCCAATTTACGCAAATTGTAGACAGATTAAAGGGAGAAAATATTAAAAATTGTAAAAGTGACAGGACATCTCGTGTGTTTCTTTTTGTAATAGTCATTAGATAGTCATATATTTTTTAATTCCGTAACATTGACAAACTTGACGAATAAATAAGAATTAACTAACTGTAAATTACTTTACCGTTAGATTATTCTTAAATCGTTTAGAATTCTATTAATTTTATATGCCCGAAGTCAACAAGTCAAGCCTTTTTATTGTTGGGAAATCCATTTACAAGCCCTCGCGGCGCGGCGGGGGGCGTCGGTCCAGGAGCTGCAATAGACCCCCTAAAATTCATCTGCTTGTTATGGATAGGGTCAGTTTCCCTTGATCTGTGCCTCCAAGAGTTGGTCATGTGAGCACCCAACTTAATGCAACATGCCTAACAGAATTATTCTACTAGCGCAAAAATGGTATGTTCACTATTTAGATTTTCTTACAAATTTTGACTATTTAGTAACAAAATATTAGTTTTGTGATAAAAATCTCTCAGGCGGCGGTATGTTTGTTAATTAATAGATAAAAATATTATCTATGAGTTATAGTGTGTGAGACGCATTCACTACGTAGGATGCGCAATTTCGGTCATTTATATTTATTTTACAACAAATTAAAAAGGTTTTAGTATCAAGCGTAAAAAATATGATGCCGTGTACTTTTTTAGAAAATTCAAAGAGGAATAATCCCGACATACCTTTTGCATGGCTTTGACCGTTAACACACAAATTCTGCAGTTTATAGATATAAAATCTAGATAAAAAATACCTAGACATTGTAAATAGTTATTTATTTCCAATATACAATATTTAAAATATTCTTAATTTGTAGATTAAGGATAATTGAAATAATAATCATTAAAAAGTTTGGTCCCTGTGGTTTAAAGCTGGAAGCATTTCCTCGCTGTATTGCGATACTTTCGTTGAGCGAGGAAAGCACTACCTGGGGTCACCGGTACTATCTACCAGGTGTCAACATAAATCCGAAATTCTGTCTATAATATTCTACACACTATTCTTGAATAGCGAGTTTTATACATACCTATTCACATTGTAATGTAAAGACAAAATTTATAATTAATCTAACTATCAGGGCGAATATTATGATATTTTTTAAACTTACACTGTTTATTTTCATATGTCAATAGGCATTTTTTATTTTAAGTTTATTTTTGACAGCTTAACACTAATTCGATGGAAAATAATAACTTTTTCAATGCCACTCTCATGGATTCAGTCAGTGTTAAATTGAATAAGTCTTGTCAGCAACATGACAAACTGTCTCCTGAAGAAATAATTGATATAAATAAGAGCAGTTTTGGCGTGGTTTCAGCGTGCGACTCTCATCCCAGAGGTCGTCGAATAGATTACTGGCTGTGCATCTATGGACTTTCTTTCTATGTGCGCATTTAACATTCGCTCGAACGGTGATGGAAAACATTGTGAGGAAACCGGCTTGCCTTAGACCCATAAAGTCCACGGCGTGTGTAAGACACATTAGATTACCTACTGGCCTATTAAATTGACAAATGATCATGAAACAGAAATCTGAGGACCAGACTTAAAAAGGTTGTAGCGCCACTGATTTATTTGATTGTAATCACAGTTTGTGCCGAAAATAAATACAGCGCTTTTAATAGCTGTATTTAATTTCGGATAATAATTATACTAGTATAATTCACAATGTAGTATTTATAAAAGCACACGAAAAGATGTGCCAATTTTTTTTATTAGGTAGTTAAAGTGGATTTTATTCTTATATTATTTTAGACTCACTTTTTATGGGTAAAAAAGTCGTATTTAAATTACGTATGCGAGTATGGGACTCGCAGTTTTATCAACATCCGGGAAACTTAAAAATAATGAACTTTAATTAAATGTTATCAACAAACTATTGATGCTCAGTCACATTATTAACACTTTGGAGTTTTATTTAGGGTACAAACAAACAGGTAAATCGAAACAGTAAACTTGTATGATTGAAGATGTATGTAAAATAAAAATAATGTAGTAGGTATGCAGTGTATAAAAGCGTACGGCAAGCGTACCGAAACTCGAAAGTACTATGTTGGATTACAATTTACTTTAAAAAATAGATAAAAACGCGGTGATACTGATTCGTAATATACATTCAAACATTCAATAGTTCAAACTTTTCTATCTTTTCTAAAACTAAAACTTCTATTGAAATTAGAAAAGTGTTGTAGAACTTTTTATTAATGTTTATATGCGCTTAAGATGTTTTATTTGAATGAGTAGTGTTCAAGTAAACCAAAAACAACATAAAAGTAATTATTAAAAAAATGCATAAACCACCATAATATATATTCCTCGAACTTGTGTCAAGAAACTGTCATTTTAAATGTCAAATTGCAAGGTCAGCCAGTTATGTCATGATTACATAATCTGGTTGTCATTTTAAACTGGTTCCAACGCTCATAAAGTAAAAGAGCTTTTATGTAATAAAGCAGAACTTTTTAATACTCCCAATAGATGTATTGTAATATATATAAAACCGGTGCAATGAAAAAAGCTCGAATTTCGCTATTTTTCAAAAATTACAAAGCTTTACTTAAAAGATACTAATATCATAACGTTTTAGGTTTTTCAGTTACTAGCGGACAAGAAACGATCAAAAATCAAATAAGGACAAGAAGGGAGTAAGTACTTAAGATAGTACTTACTTTAAAACAAAGCGTTCGATATTTCTATTTAAAAATATAATTTTTTGCTTGTATAAATAATTTATATTATAGTTAATCAAGTTGAAACACGAAACGAATAAAAATTCTACAAATCTTTTCTTTACGTAAAAAGAATCATAGGTGGAGCTATCGCTTCATTAGGTCTGGGCCTCAGGTTCTGTAACTTTTTAGGTCTAAGACATGCTGATTTCCTTACGTTAACTTCACCGTACAAGCGAGTGTTAACTGCGCATTTAGAAGTAAAAATCCATTAGTATATAGCCGTGATTCGAACGCAAGAACTCAGGGTTGAGTTGAGCTCAAGCTACTAGGCCAACACCAGTGGCGGATTTACAGGCTGATTAGTCTGGTGTCTAGAGCGGCAAATTTTAGGGATGTCGAAAATTTGTATCAAAAATATTATTTTGCCTATTAGGAATAGAAAAATAACTTATAAGTAGACTGATGAGCTTTTCTTTGCTTAAATATATACAATTGCTTGAGTAAATTTCAGTAAATCTTGAGTTGTAAGAATAGGAACTACACATTGATTGCTTAGTGCACAATAATACTAACAGAAAGAGCTGATATACCCAATAGAATTGTAAAAATTAATTGCAGAGTTAGTAGCGGCAAATGTATAAATCTACCGCTAACACTTTTTTTTTCTATAACAGGGGGCAAACCGGCAGGAGGCTCACCTGATGGTGTGATACCGCCGCCTATGGACACTCTCAATGCCAGAGGGCTCGCGAGTGCGTTGCCGGCCTTTTAAGAATTGGTACGCTCTTTTCTTGAAGGACCCTAAGTCGAATTGGTTCGGAAATACTT